GGAGACAATTAAAATAGATAAATAATATATCACCCGCCGCCGCTAAATGACATGCAGCTGAGCGAGTCGGCCGTCCGTGTGCGCCCGCACACGCGTGTGTGCCCCCGCACACGCGTGTGCCCCCGCACACGCGTGTGCCCCACCCCTCCGTGCGCCTCTCTGCGCTGGTTCGTCTGAGAGGCGACCGACGGCCACCGTCACCTCGACGGTCCCTCCACCGGAAAGACAAGCGTCTGAATGAACAGGTCTGTCGGAAAGACAGCGTCTGAATGAACAGGTCTGTCGGAAAGACAGCGTCCGAATGAACAGGTCTGTCGGAAAGACAGCGTCCTGAAGGAACAGGTCTGTCGTAAAGCAGCATCTGATGAACAGGTCTGTCGGAAAGACAGCGTCTGAATGAACAGGTCTGTCGGAAAGACAGCGTCTGAATGAACAGGTCTGTCGGAAAGACAGCGTCCGAATGAACAGGTCTGTCGGAAAGACAGCGTCTGAATGAACAGGTCTGTCGGAAAGACAGCGTCTGAATGAACAGGTCTGTCGGGAAAGACAGCGTCTGAATGAACAGGTCTGTCGGAAAGACAGCGTCTGAATGACAGGTCTGTCGGAAAGACAGCGTCGAATGAACAGGTCTGTCGGAAAGACAGCGTCTGAATGAACAGGTCTGTCGGAAAAGACAGCGTCTGAATGAACAGGTCTGTCGGAAAGACAGCGTCTGAATGAACAGGTCTGTCGGAAAGACAGCGTCTGAATGAACAGGTCTGTCGGAAAGACAGCGTCTGAATGAACAGGTCTGTCGGAAAGACAGCGTCTGAATGAACAGGTCTGTCGGAAAGACAGCGTCTGAATGAACAGGTCTGTGGAAAGACAGCGTCGAATAAAACAGGTCTGTCGGAAAGACAGCGTCTGAATGAACAGGTCTGTCGGAAAGACAGCGTCTGAATGAACAGGTCTGTCGGAAAGACAGCGTCTGAATGAACAGGTCTGTCGGAAAGACAGCGTCTGAATGAACAGGTCTGTCGGAAAGACAGCGTCTGAATGAACAGGTCTGTCGGAAAGACAGCGTCTGAATGAACAGGTCTGTCGGAAAGACAGCGTCTGAATGAACAGGTCTGTCGGGAAAGACAGCGTCTGAATGAACAGGTCTGTCGGAAAGACAGCGTCTGAATGAACAGGTCTGTCGGAAAGACAGCGTCTGAATGAACAGGTCTGTCGGAAAGACAGCGTCTGAATGAACAGGTCTGTCGGAAAGACAGCGTCTGAATGAACAGGTCTGTCGGAAAGACAGCGTCTGAATGAACAGGTCTGTGGGAAAGACAGCGTCTGAATGAACAGGTCTGTGGGAAAGACAGCGTCTGAATGAACAGGTCTGTCGGAAAGACAGCGTCTGAATGAACAGGTCTGTCGGAAGACAGACAGATCCTGAATCAGCAACAGTCTGTCGGAAAGACAGCGGTCCTGAATGACAGGTCTGTCGGAAAGACAGCGGTCTGAATGAACAGGTGTCTGTCGGAAAGAACAGCGTCCTGAAATGAACAGGTCCTGTGCGGGAAAGACGAGAGCGTCTGACGATGAACAGGTCTGTCGGGAAAGACAGGTCTGCCTGAATGCAACAGGTCTGTCGGAAAGACAGCGGTCTGAATGAACAGGTCTGTCGGAAAGGACAGCGTCTGAAATGAACAGGTCTGTCCGGAAATGACAGCGTCCTGAATCAAACGGTGCTGTCCGGAAAGACAGCGTCCTGACATGAACAGGTCGTGTCGGAAGACAGCGTCTGAATGAACAGGTCTGTCGGAAAGACAGCGTCTGAATGAACAGGTCTGTCGGAAGACAGCGTCTGAATGAACCAGGTCCTGTCGGAAAGACAGCGTCTGAATGAACAGGGTCTGTCGGAAAGACAGCGTCGAATGAACAGGTCTGTCGGAAAGACAGCGTCTGAATGAACAGGTCTGTCGGAAAGACAGCGTCTGAATGAACAGGTCTGTCGGAAAGACAGCGTCTGAATGAGCAGGTCTGTCGGAAAGACAGCGTCTGAATGAACAGGTCGTCGGAAAGACAGCGTCCGAATGAACAGGTCTGTCGGAAAAGACAGCGTCCGAATGAACAGGTCTGTCGGAAAGACAGCGTCTGAATGAACAGGTCTGTCGGAAAGACAGCGTCCGAATGAACAGGTCTGTCGGAAAGACAGCGTCTGAATGAGCAGGTCTGTCGGAAAGACAGCGTCTGAATGAACAGGTCTGTCGGAAAGACAGCGTCTGAATGAACAGGTCTGTCGGAAAGACAGCGTCCGAATGAACAGGTCTGTCGGAAAGACAGCGTCTGAATGAACAGGTCTGTCGGAAAGACAGCGTCCGAATGAACAGGTCTGTCGGAAAGACAGCGTCTGAATGAGTCTTTTGAGTAAGTCTTTCCGAAAGCCCTGTTCTTCACCTGAGGACGGCTGCTTGCGTTGTGGGCGAAACGTCGTGAGAAATATTTTACCAAAATTTATTTTATTATTTTATTATTTCTCTTCTACGTGACTTTACCGAAAGAACCAAGAAGATGAATCCCCCCAGTCACGAAAGCTTTAAATCGAAATTTATCCTTGGATTTAACCCTCCTCTCTCTCCTCTGTCACGTGGCGTGCGCGATGACCACCACCACCACAACAACCACCACCACAACCACCATCACAACCACCACCACAACCACCACCACAACCACCATCACAACCACCATCACAACCACCACCACAACCACCACCACAACCACCACCACAACCACCACCACAACCACCACCACAACCACCATCACAACCACCATCACAACCACCATCACAACCACCACCACAACCACCACCACAACCACCACCACAACCACCACCACAACCACCACCACAACCACCACCACAACCACCCCACAACCACCCCACAACCACCACCACAACCACCACCACAACCACCATCACAACCACCACCATCACAACCACCATCACAACCACCACCACAACCACCACCACAACCACCACCACAACCACCACCACAACCACCACCACAACCACCACCACACCACAATCACCACCACAATCACCACACCATCACAACCACCACCACCATCACAACCACCATCACAACCACCACCACCACCACCACAACCACCACCACAACCACCACCACCATCACAACAACCACCACCACCACAACCACCACCACAACCACCACCACAACCACCACCACCACAACCACCACCACCACAACCACCACCACCACAACCACCACCACCATCACAACCACCATCACAACCCACCACCACAACCACCACCACAACCACCACCACAACCACCACCACAACCACCATCACAACCACCATCACAACCACCATCACAACCACCACCACAACCACCACCACAACCACCACCACAACCACCACCACAACCACCACCACAACCACCACCACAACCACCCCACAACCACCACCACAACCACCACCACAACCACCATCACAAACCACCACCATCACAACCACCATCACACCACCACCACAACCACCACACAACCACCACCACAACCACCACCACAACCACCACCACAACCACCACCACCACCACAATCACCACCACAATCACCACCACCATCACAACCACCACCACCATCACAACCACCATCACAACCACCACCACCACCACCACAACCACCACCACAACCACCACCACCATCACAACAACCACCACCACCACAACCACCACCACAACCACCACCACAACCACCACCACCACAACCACCACCACCACAACCACCACCACCACAACCACCACCACCATCACAACCACCATCACAACCACAACCACAACCACCACCACCATCACAACCACCATCACAACCACCATCACAACCACCACCACAACCACCACCACCACCACAACCACCACCACAACCACCACCACCACAACCATCACAACCACCATCACAACCACCATCACAACCACCATCACAACCACCACCACAACAACCACCACCACAACCACCACCACAACCACCACCACAACCACCACAACAACCACCACCACCACAACCACCACAACCACCACGTGACTTTTCTTTCGTGTTGTGCGCGGTGCTTTCAGCGCCACAGCGCGTGGATTTGTAGCGTTTGTTTTCATTTGCGTTGCCGGTGACTTTGTGTATTCGTTCTAGATTTGAAGCTTTCGTGGCTGCGAGAATTCATACGCTTAGCTTTTTCGGTAAAGTCACCACGTATGAAAAAAAAAATGAAATTAAAATTCATAAATAAAATTTAAAAAAATCACGACGACGTTTCGGAGGCAACACGAGTCTCTGTCATCAGTAGGGACAGTCACGGCAAGATTTGCTGCATCAAGTGAGGCAATAATTCAAGATGTAATCCCTTAAAAGCGAGTTGAGAGGGGGGGGGCTCATCAGAATGTGGTAGCCAATGAATGGAAAGTATCGGGAGAGAGGGGCCATTCATTGGCTACCACATTCTGATGAGCCCCCCCCCCTCTCTCCTCCCCCCTTCAACTCGCTTTTAAGGGATTACATCTTGAATCATTGCCTCACTTGATGCAGCTAATCTGGCTGTGACTGTCCCACCTGATGACGGACACTTGTGTTGCCTCCGAAACGTCTTGATTTTATTTTATTATTTTTTATTAATTTTGATGTTTTACCTACGTGACTTTACCGAAAACACCTAAGAATATGATTCCTTGCAGTCACGAAAGCTTCAAGTCTAGAATTCTTAAATACCAGTTCAGGGGGAAGAGAGGGGGGGGAGCTTATCAGAATGTGGTAGCCAATGGATGGAACGTATCGGGAGTGGGGGGGGGGGCGGGTCTAAAAAAGATCACGAGGTATAAACGTGGACGTGTGTTTCATATCGACATCGCCTTCAGTGCTGTTGCTGCTGCTGCTGGTGGCAATGAAAGTTGTTTAGAAGTCAAAGTCTCTCTCTGTGTGTCTCTCCTCTGTCTCTCCTCTTCTTTTCCACCGATTGTTGATCAGCGTCAGCGCCAGCGCTCGCGATGAATCCGCTCTACAGTCCAACGGCTCCCGGCACTGTCTACAGCAACTCGCAAGGCATGGGATACGCGGGTGAGCTGTGCGCTGTCTGTCTGTGTGTGTGGTATGTGTGCTGTGTGTACGTAACCTGTGTGTGTGTTGTGTGCTGTGTGTGTGTGTGCTGTGTGTACGTAACCTGTGTGTGTGTACGTGCTGTGTGTACGTAACCTGTGTGTGTGTACGTGCTGTGTGTACGTAACCTGTGTGTGTGTATGTGCTGTGTGTGTGCGCTGTGTGTACGTACCTGTGTGTGTGTGTGTGCTGTGTGTACGTACCTGTGTGTGTGTGTGTGCTGTGTGTACGTAACCTGTGTGTGTGTTGTGTGCTGTGTGTACTTACCTGTGTGTGTGTTGTGTGCTGTGTGTACGTACCTGTGTGTGTGTTGTGTGCTGTGTGTACGTACCTGTGTGTGTGTGTGCTGTGTGTGTGTGCTGTGTGTGTGTGTACGTAACCTGTGTGTGTGTACGTGCTGTGTGTACGTAACCTATGTGTGTGCTGTGTGTACGTAACCTGTGTGCTGTGTGTGTGCTGTGTGTGCTGTGTGTACGTACCTGTGTGTGTGTGTGTGCTGTGTGTACGTACCTGTGCTGTGTGTGTGTGCTGTGTGTGCTGTGTGTACGTACCTGTGCTGTGTGTGTGTGCTGTGTGTGCTGTGTGTACGTAACCTGTGTGTGCTGTGTGCTGTGTGTGTGTTGTGTGCTGTGTGTACGTAACCTGTGTGTGTGTGTGATGTGTGTACGTAACCTGTGTGTGCTGTGTGTGCTGTGTGTACGTACCTGTGTATGCTGTGTGCTGTGTGTACGTACCTGTGTGTGTGTTGTGTGCTGTGTGTACGTAACCTGTGTGCTGTGTGTGTGTGCTGTGTGTACGTAACCTGTGTGCTGTGTGTGTGTGCTGTGTGTATGTAACCTGTGTGTGTGTGTGCTGTGTGTGTGCTGTATGTACGTAACCTGTGTGTGTGTGCTGTGTGTACGTAACCTGTGTGCTTTGTGTGTGTGTGCTGTGTGTATGTAACCTGTGTGTGTGTGTGCTGTGTGTTTACGTAACCTGTGTGTGTGTGGTGTGTTTACGTAACCTGTGTGTGCTGTGTGCTGTGTGTATGTAACCTGTGTGTGTGTGCTGTGTGTGTGCTGTGTGTGTGCTGTGTGTATGTGTGTGTGCTCTATGTGTGTGCTCTATGTGTATGTGTGTGCTGTACGTGTGCTCTGTGTGTGCTGTGTGTGTGTGTATGTATGTGTGTGTGTGTGCTGTGTGTACGTAACCTGTGTATGTGTGGTGTGTGTACGTAACCTGTGTGTGTGTGTGGTGTGTGTGTGCTCTATGTGTGAGCTCTATGTGTGTGTGTATGTATGTGTATGTGCTCTATGTGTGTGTGCGCTATGTGCTGTGTGCTGTGTGTGTGTGTGCTGTGTGTGTACTGTGTGTGTGTGCTGTGTGTGTGCTGCAGGCTATGTATATATATATGTATGTGTGCTGTGTGTGTGTGCTGTGTGTGTATGTGCTCTGTGTGTGTGTGCTGTATGTGTGTGCTGTATGTATGTGTGTGTTGTGTGTGTATGTGCTGTGTGTGTGTACTGTGTGTGTACTGTGTGTGTGTGCTGTGTGTGTGTGTGTGCTGTGTGTGTGCTGTGTGTGTGTGTGCTCTATGTGTGTGCTATGTGTGAGCTCTGTGTGTGTGTATGTATGTGTATGTGCTCTATGTGTGTGGTGTGTGTGCTCTATATGCTGTGTGTGTGCTGTGTGTATGTGTGTGTGTGTGTGCTGTGTGTATGTGTGTGCTGTGTGTGTGCTGCAGGCTATGTTTATAGATGTATGTGTGTGTGTGTACTGTGTGTGTGCTGTGTGTGTGTGCTGCAGGCTATGTATATATATGTATGTGCTGTATGTGTACTGTGTGTGTGCTATGTGTGTACTGTGTGTGTGCTGTGTGTGTACTGTGTGTGTGCTGCAGGCTATGCCCCAGGCTATGCCGCTGCTGCTGCAGGATATGTATATATATGTATGTGCTATGTGTGTGTGTGCTGCAGGCTATGTATATATATGTATGTGTATATGCTGTGTGCTGTGTGTGTGCTGCAGGCTATGTATATATATGTATGTGTATATGCTGTGTGCTGTGTGTGTGCTGCAGGCTATGTATATATATGTGTGTGTGTATGCTGTGTGCTGTGTGTGTGCTGCAGGCTATGTATATATATATATGTATGTGTATATGCTGTGTGCTGTGTGTGTGCTGCAGGCTATGTATATATATATATGTATGTGTATATGCTGTGTGCTGTGTGTGTGCTGCAGGCTATGTATATATATGTGTGTGTGTATGCTGTGTGCTGTGTGTGTGCTGCAGGCTATGTATATATATGTGTGTGCTGGGTGTGTACTGTGTGTGTACTGTGTGTGTGTGCTATGTGTGTGTACTGTGTGTGTGTGCTATGTGTGTGTGTGCTGCAGGCTATGTATATATATGTATGTGCTGTGTGTGTACTGTGTGTGTGTGCTATGTGTGTGTGTGCTGCAGGCTATGCCCCAGGCTACGCCGCTGCTGCTGCAGGATATCCCCCAGGAGTGTTCCCCCCAGCGGGGGTCAACTTTCCGTCGGGTGAGCCGTTACAGCCCAGTACCACCACCACCACAACCACCACCACCTTCACCACCACCACAACCACCTTCACCACCACCACTATAGCCACCACCTTCACCACCACATTCACCACCACCACCACCTTCACCACCACCACCACCACCACCTTCACCACCACCACCTTCACCACCACCATAGCCATCACTACCACCACCACAACCATAGCCACCACCACCACCTTCACCACCACCTTCACCCACCACTACCACCACCTTCACCACCACCATAGCCATCACTACCACCACTACCTTCACCACCACATTCACCACCACCTTCACCACCACCATCACCACCACCTTCACCACCACCACCTTCACCACCACCACCACAACCATAGCCACCACCACCTTCACCACCACCAACTTCACCACCATAGCCATCACTACCACCACCACCACCATCACCACCACCTTCACCACCACCACCTTCACCACCACCACCACCACCTTCACCACCACCACCTTCACCACCACTCACCACCACCTTCACCACCACCACCTTCACCACCACCATAGCCGTCACTACCACCACCATAGCTGTCACTACCACCTCTACCACCACCACCACCATAGCCGTCACTACCACCACCATAGCTATCACTACCACCTCTACCACCACCACCATAGCCATCACTACCACCACCACCACATTCACCACCACCATCGCCATCACTACCACCTCTACCACCACCACCATAGCCATCACTACCACCACCACCACATTCACCACCATCGACATCACTACCACCTCTACCACCATCATTGTCATCACTGCCATAGCCATCACTACCCTAAGAATTACCTGTTTGATGTTTACAATTTTATAACACTTTAAAAATCACTCGCTACTATACAGTTTGGTGACGAGTGGGTGCGGAAGGAGTTGTGGGGGTGGGGGGGGACAGGTTGGGGTGGAGGTTATATTAATTTCAGGAAACCAGCGGTTGAAAGGGTTCAGAAAACCAGCGGTTAAAAGGGTTCAGAAAACCAGCGGTTGAAAGGGTTCAGAAAACCAGCGGTTAAAAGGGTTCAGAAAACCGGCGGTTGAAAGGGTTCAGAAAACCAGCGGTTAAAAGGGTTCAAAACCAGCGGTTGAAAGGGTTCAGAAAACCAGCGGTTAAAGGGTTCAGAAAACCGCGGTTGAAAGGGTTCAGAAAACCAGCGGAAAGGGTTCAGAAAACCAGCGGTTGAAAGGGTTCAGAAAACCAGCGGTTAAAAGGGTTCAGAAAACCAGCGGTTGAAAGGGTTCAGAAAACCAGCGGTTAAAAGGTTCAGAAAACCAGCGGTTGAAAGGGTTCAGAAAACCAGCGGTTAAAAGGGTTCAGAAAACCAGCGGTTGAAAGGGTTCAGAAAACCAGCGGTTAAAAGGGTTCAGAAAACCAGCGGTTGAAAGGGTTCAGAAAACCAGCGGTTAAAAGGGTTCAGAAAACCGGCGGTTGAAAGGGTTCAGAAAACCAGCGGTTAAAAGGGTTCAGAAAACCAGCGGTTGAAAGGGTTCAGAAAACCAGCGGTTAAAAGGGTTCAGAAAACCAGCGGTTGAAAGGGTTCAGAAAACCAGCGGTTGAAAGGGTTCAGAAAACCAGCGGTTAAAAGGGTTCAGAAAACCAGCGGTTGAAAGGGTTCAGAAAACCAGCGGTTGAAAGGGTTCAGAAAACCAGCGGTTGAAAGGGTTCAGAAAACCAGCGGTTGAAAGGGTTCAGAAAACCAGCGGTTGAAAGGGTTCTGAAAACCAGCGGTTAAAAGGGTTCAGAAAACCAGCGGTTGAAAGGGTTCAGAAAACCAGCGGTTGAAAGGGTTCAGAAAACCAGCGGTTGAAAGGGTTTCAGAAAACCAGCGGTTTGAAAGGGTTCAGAAAACCAGCGGTTGAAAGGGTTCAGAAAACCAGCGGTTGAAAGGTTCAGAAAACCAGCGGTTAAAAGGGTTCAGAAAACCAGCGTTAAAAGGGTTCAGAAACCAGCGGTTGAAAGGGTTCAGAAAACCAGCGGTTGAAAAGGGTTCAGAAAACCAGCGGTTGAAAGGGTTCAGAAAACCAGCGGTTGAAAGGGTTCTGAAAACCAGCGGTAAAAGGTTCAGAAAACCAGCGGTTGAAAGGGTTCAGAAACCAGCGGTTGAAAGGGTTCAGAAAACCAGCGGTTAAAAGGGTTCAGAAAACCAGCGGTTGAAAGGGTTCAGAAAACCAGCGGTTGAAAGGGTTCAGAAACCAGCGGTTGAAAGGGTTCCGAAAACCAGCGGTTAAAGGGTTCCGAAAACCAGCGGTTGAAAGGGTTCAGAAAACCAGCGGTTGAAGGGTTCCAAAACCAGCGGTTAAAAGGGTTCCGA